CACATTTCATCAAAAACCGAAACAATCTTCTAATTTCATTTTTGCTCCCTTGTTTTTTCTGATGTGGTGGTTCTGTTGCAGTGCCACGTTCGAGGGGACTTCCACAACACTGCTGGGAAAGGGCAGCCAGAGCAATGTTCCTCTGCACCTGTCCCAGCGCTCCCCTGCAGCATCCCCAGTGCTCCTCGGCAGCTTTCTCCTTTGGAGCCCAAAGGCCAGACTCTCCTGAAACGCTCGGCTTTGCGGTCAGTTGAGTGTTAATGGCCAGCAGAAACGAAGTGTCATTCACTTTACCCCTAGGCTGCATATGGTCAGTATTTACAGATAATAACTAGACCAGAGTTAACACTATCAGTGTTAGCCTACTTCCCATGAGTGTGAATGGGCTCTTCAGCCTGGAGAAGAGAAAGTTCCTGAGAAACCACACAGCGGCCTTCCAGTAACTAAAGGTGTCTGCAAGAGAGCTGGAGAAGGACTTTTTACAAGGGCGTGTAGTGACACTCTCTGAAAGAGAGTAAGTTTAGATTAGATATTAGGAAGAAATTCTGCCCTATGAGGGTGGTGAGACACTGGGACAGGTTGCCCCGAGAAGTTGTGGATGCCTCATCCATGGAAGCGTTCCAGGACAGGTTGGGTAGGGCTTTGAGCAACCTGGTCTAGTGAAGGTGTCCCTGCCCATGGCAAGGGGGTTGGAACTACATGATCTTTAAGGCATCTTCCAACCCAAACCATTCTGTGATTCTGTAAAGTCTCTGCACATGTCCAGCCCTTGGCACAGATATCAGTGCATGGTGCCTCTCTGAGGTGCCTCTCTCACCTGCTTTGGCAGCTGTGCAGGGAGCTACATGGCACACAGGTACCTGTCACTCCAGAGGTTTGTTCTTTCCGTACCCTTACTGAAGTATTCTCACAACAGATTTTCAGTAGCTAATTCTACATTGTTGATAACATTGCCTCAGATAAAGAAAGATATAATAGAGTCTGGAGAACTAAAATGACCATTTACAGTGTCTGGCAGGTGTTCTTCAAACTTTTGGCTCTTAAGGAGGACATAAGGGCTGTTATTCCTGCCTGATAGGTCTCTGATATGCAATCATTTTGCTGTGTCCACCAAATTATACAAGTTTTTCTTTTCTTCCCCCCCGCCACTAGATGAATCCCATCAATTAATTGCTTTTCCTGATGATATTTTGCCAACATAACGTTTACTGTGTCCATGTTGGCAGAACACATAAGAGTTTTCAAAACCCAAAGTGTTATTGTTGGTGCTACGTTACATAAACCACAAACTGATTAGGATACAGGCTATGAGCAGTTAATGGGTCTGTTCCCAGTCATATGACATCTGGGGAGATGATTTTCATATTACTGAGCCAAGTCTGTGAAGCATTCCCTTTTCCCCAAAGCTATTTCTTTAAGAAATGGAAGCACAATTGCAGGCTGGCATTGGGCAGCAGCAAATGCAGTCGAAGCAGAATTCTGTGGACAGAGAGCGCCACCTCCAGCTACTAAATCATAATTACTCCACGGTAACAACCAACTAATTTGGGATTTCTCCTTTGGAATTGCCACCTGTTCTGAAAAAGATGGAGAAAAAGCCACCTGAGACTGATTAATCCTGTCTTAATACCCTGTAGGGAGACTTTGCTAATCCTTGCTAAAGTTTCTGAGTTAAGCGAAAAAGTTGCTTAAACACGCATGGAGATGAGCACTCAAATTATTTTTTTTTTTTCACGCTCCTTAGTCAAGAATAAAATTATGATAGAGGTAAAATTTGTACTATATTACCATCCTCCAGCCTACAGAAATTCTGTGTTTCTAATATTCCACATGTTGCATTTGATAAGTTCTTGAAAAACATCATAAATGATACCTCTAGTACTGCCTCAGAACAACTGGGTAGCAAACCAGTGTCAATAAGCAACATGCAAAAACAGCACACAAAGTGCACACAGAAGAATTATACACATGCAAATGTTACAAAACTGACAAACATTAAAAAATTCACTGGATAAATACTACATAAATACATTTTATATAAATACAAATATTACAAAATACTAAAAAATATTACAATTTTTATAAACCCACAAAAATTATATAAATACTTAAAGAAAATAATTACAATGGCTTTATTAAGTGTAATATTTTGTGTACATTTTATCCCATATAAATGGTACATATGTTAGGGTGTATTTTTAAAGAAATAAGTTTTGCTAAAATAAGTCAAGATGTTATTTATAGTTGATGCCCAGAAATTCTTCTCCACCACAGCGTCAAATGTTGTTGTGGCAATCCTGTTGCCCATCAGTTTTCTGTACTTCCCAACACCATGGAAAACCTCAGGTCTTCAGAGCATTCACAGCTCCAAAGGGTTCAAATTGAGCAGAGATATTAAGTGCATTAGAAAATCAACCTGTGAATGAGAATATGCTGCTTCTGATAGTGTTCTCTGAACTAAATGGACAGCTGAGATCAGTGCCTGTGAGTCCAGCCTCATTAACATCACACAAGAGTTTGTTCTAGAAACCTATCTTAAGGATACCAGTGGCAAAGAATTTGTCAGACAATAAAACTGAAAGTCATTGCCTCCTTGTGTGTGCTGTAGAAGACTCATCCATATTGAAGAATTATTAATGGATTTGCAAAAACAAACGGATTTAAAGTGCTATGAATACTAAATATGTACATTGAATAGATATATTCAAGAAGGGTTAAAAGACAAAGCAGCCTTAATATTGCTCCTAAACTAGATACAGCACCTTATTTAAAATGCAAATTATTAACTTACTCTGTATTATTTTTATGACTGAGTTCAGAAGGCATTTTTCACAGCTGTTAAAGAAACAATAAAGATTCCATTTGCAGCCACAGAGGCTACAAGACTGAAAGAAAGTTGATGAAGCTCTATTAGAGAAACCTGTAAAGGACACAAAGGCAATCAAGAACTGCTGGCATTGATTTCTGAATTAAAAATCACAGTTGGTCAACTTGATTGCACCCTATAATGGAATGGCTGGCTACATGGACAAGGATGGACCAGTGGGCACAATAGATCCTGATTTCCGTACAGGGATTGAAATGATTTCCTGCAGCACTTTCACTCACTTTCCTCCAAATCGAGAAAAAGTGGCATGAACAAGCTGTTTGCTAGATGCATTGAAAACTGTCTAGGCTGACAGGCTCAGTGGGTGGCAACTGGTGGCTTGGCAATGAGCCTGAAGGCCCATAGCATGTTCAGTGCTCTAGGGGTTGATACTAGGATATATATAGTGCATTGTCTTCATCAAAAACATGGACCACGGGACAGGATGCAGTCTCTGGCTATCTCAAGATAACACCAAGTTAGGAGGGGTGGTTGATACACTAAACAGTAGAGCTTAAGTTCTGAGGGACTTTGAGAATCTTCAGGACTGGGCTGACAGAAGCCTTAACACGTTCAACATGAAGAAGCACAAGGATAAATGCTCAGTCCCAGACCTAAGGCTGAATAAGCCCTTCCATTGGTAGAAGCTGGGAAGACACAGGCTGGCTACCGGCTTCATCAAAAATAACCTGGGGTTATGTGAAAGCTGAGTCCAACATAAGCACATACTGTGCTCTCATCCCAGTGATTCCCAGATGGGAAATCACACTGTAGCCTACATTAGGAGTATGGACAATGGGCTGAGGAAAGTTACAGTCCCCCTTTGCTTCGTGTTGGTGAGGTGCTGGCTGGACACAGGGCCCAGTTTAACCTTCCTTAGGTCAAGACAGGGCAGCTTCAGTGAACACTACCAAGACAATCAGGATCTAAATCACATGATGATTTCGAAAATATTGAGGTATTCTGGGACTGTCTTGCCTGTTGAAGAGTGTCGGGGATCATATAACAGCAACATTCAACTACTTGAAGGGGGATTACAAATATGGCAGAGCTAAACTTCCCTTGGTAGTGGTGTGCAATACAACAGGAAACCATGGGCACAACTGGCTCAGAAGGTCCAAAGAAGACACTGTGAAACAAATTACTTACATGAAGGTAGTTAACCTGGACAAGCTATGTAATTTTTATTTTGGATGGCTTCAAGAACTGTCAAGAAAAAACCACAACAGATGTGATTCACTTCAAGCACAGAAACTGGGCTGCAATACCCAGAAGTCCTTTCCAACCTCTATGATTGCGAACCAGTGTAAAGGTTATGACTTTCCTGGTCTAGAATTCTTGTTTATTGTTGGAAGATAGCCTTAAAACGTTCACCAAAATAGTGTCTGGACTTTATTATTAGAGTTTAAGCACATGCATGAGCAAAAATAAAAATATTCTGCCATCTGTTGATATCTGGCAAACTGCAGAGGTTGTTTTCTGAAAACACTATTTCACCACCACATTTAAACCATTAGTTGCTATTTCAGTTGGCAATATAAAAATAGCGAAGAAACGCAAGGTATTTTGAGAATCCACCGTCAAGTGATTCAGTGTGTTACGTGTTCAACTTGTAAAAGTGGTGGAAGTGCCTGCAGCCAGACTCCGTGAGTTCCCAGAATAACTTAAAACTCGTTAACAACCCTGGTAACCACCCTATCTTCTGTGAATAATATACATGAGTTTGCAATATCTACCTTTCTCCTTTTTTTTTTTTTTTCAAACTATGGTAAAGGTCACCGAGATGCTCAGTTTCGGCTGCAGTATGAGCTGCCTTCCCCTCCTCCCCGCTGCACCACGGGAGATCAGAGGACGGGCCGCCCACCTCCCTTCCCCTCTCATGGCCCTCGAGCAGCCCGTCTTCTCTTGCTCTTTTCCCGTTGCAATCGCAGTCCGAAGCATTCTGGTTTTTCATGGATCCCCGAGGAGGCAGAGCTCCGGGAGCGCTGCTCCGCCACACACCCCGCAGCCCACAGACACCGCTTCCCTACACCCCCCGCCCTCCTCACCGCGCTCGGCTGGGCACGGGGCGGGCAGCGCGGCACCCGCCCGACCGCTGCTTCCTTCCGCTCCCGGCAGGAGGAGGAGGGGGAGGAGGAGGAGGAAAGGGCGGAGAGGGGGTGCTGCCGGGCGGTGGATGGCGGCGAGCGGCGGGGCCGGGCTCCTGCCCTTCCTGCGCCTGCTGGGGCAGCTCAAGGTGGGCGCGGACGCTGTAGGGGAAGGACCCGGAGCAGCTGCGGGGGCTGCCGGGGTGTGCGTGTTCCCATGCCCATCGGCCTCCCGTGGGGCGGGTTTCCCCGGCAGTGCCCGGTCAGCGGTCGGTGGAGGCCGGCGGAGAGCCGGGGCCTCCGCCCGGGGTGTGCGTAGCGGCCCCGGAGCGGGGGCGGCCGGGCCGGGCTGGGGCTGCGGCGGGGAGAGGGGGGGGCACCGGGCGGGGCAGGGCAGGGCAGGGGGCCCCGGCTCTCCGGCTGCGGCTGGGCCGTGCTCCTGGCCGGGCACAGCCTCGGGCAGCCCGGTGCTGCCGGTTGGGGCAGGTGTTTGCTGAAGGCATCGGAAGGCTCACCGGCGCGTGGAGGTCACGGTGGGGCAAAATTTCTGCTGGTCTCTCTGAAGAGAGGTACTTCAAGGGTTTTAACGTTTACGGTGCCACGGTCTAGGGGATATGGTGGTGTCCCGCCAAGGGTTGGATTCCGTGACCTCAGCGGTATTTGCAAACCTAACTGATTCGGTGATTCTGTGATGCTCGCGCAGAGAGTACCGCGGACAGGATGGGTGTACAGGAACGTGGCGAAGCCGGAGAGCGTATCCGATCACATGTACAGGATGGCGATGATGGCTTTGGTGACTGAAGACAAAAGCCTTAACAAGGACAGGTGAGGAGACTGCCTCTAGTTTTTGTGACCATGTGCCAGTGTTGCAGGAGAGTTGCAGACAGAATGCTAAAAGGAGCTGGCATCCTGAGTAAAAACTTTTTAAAACACACTGAAGGAGTTTGAAAACCCTTTCCCTCTTTTTTTCCTCCATCCTTTGGACAGGGTGCTGTTTACCGGGAGAACTGAAAGGGGCTAAAAACTTCTATTGCTAGACTGCAAGTGCAGAGGCAAGTCCTTAGTGCAGAGGCTCTGAGCTGGCCTTCTCTCAAGCCGTAAGTAAGCAAGCTGAAGACATTTGTTAAACACAGTCTAAAGCAACAGACAGCAAGGGCAAAGCCATACACCATGTGGATTTTGAGATTTTGACTGAACTAGCACTCAGCAGCATTTAAGAAACCTCAGAAAACCTCTAGCACAGTAGAGAAAAATTCATTATTGAATGAGTTCTCAAGTCCAGTATGGGATCATGCTTACTTTGTCCCTTCAGAAGCTGATGTGAAGGCATTTTTGAACATTCTGCTGCAAACTGGCATAGCCACAGAGCTGTCAGATTATACAGTGAATTTGAGATGGCTCTAAGCAGATTACCTTCTACCTATTGGAGGAATAACATGAAGTATATCATATAGTTAATTATCACAACATTTCTGAAAGCCAAGTGTACAAAAGCTAAGTACATGACTTTTGAATGCTGTGCTCTGGTACATGGTGTATTTATACTTAAATATGTATTTACAAGCAGCAGGAGCTAGAAATCAGAAACTAAAAATGTGTCTAGGTGGAAACTACTTCTCTTGGCAAAGAAGTGAAAAATGTAAAGTTTAAAAAAACCTCCAGCTAACCTGTAGAATAGAGGAAGGGTATAAATTCTGTGGATAGCTTTGTGGATAACAAGATATAACTTAAAATGCTGAAAAGGTAATTATTCTGTCTTTGCTTCTTATCAGATGCATACGATTAGCTTTGGTTCATGATATGGCTGAGTGCATTGTTGGAGATATTGCTCCTGCAGATAATATTTCAAAAGAAGAGAAACACAGGAGAGAAGAGGTATGGACACAAGGCACGAAGCCACACCTGCAAAGCATTCTGTATGTTTTTAATGGTTTGGTGAAGGGGCACTAAGCAATATAATACTGTCACTGGGATTACGCAAGTCTGTGATAACCAACTACAGTTTTCAACTCATTGTGATTTTTGTATCTGTAACATCATCAAGTACAAAGTTATGGCAGGGGAACCTTTGAAATAATCTTCATCTTGGCCATTTGTTCCCAAACTAACTTGTAGTTTTGGTAGCCTGAGCAAGTCATTTCAGCAGCCTTACCAAAAGGTGGAGAGCGGGGAGTGGGTGAACTGACTGGGATTGATGACAGTTCATGTCAGATCATACGTGTGGTGCCAGATTGTGCAGTTGTGACAAAGACTTTATTGAAACCTTTTGCACAGGTTTGCATTCCAGACACAGGTGTCTTGTTTGTTTTGGTTTGGGTTTTGTTTGTTTGTTGTTATTTTTTGTTTGTTGGGTTTTTTGTCGTTTTTGTTGTGAGTGCAGCATGCCTAGAGTTACTTTATTTTTGGCCTTGTACATATCCAAACTGTTGGTTTGTCATTTCTGGTTTGTGGCATTATCTGAAGATATGTAAACCACTTCTGTAGCCACAGCTAGAGGGCAGTGTGTCGCCTCAGAAACTCGCCTTTTTGTTCAGTGTAAGAACATGCTAGGAATTACATTGAGAAAATGAAGTACCACAATTACAGTCAGTAAAGATATTACTTCAACAACACCAAATACGAATAGATCTGTAATTTCCACTTTCTTAGCCAAAATCTTACTCCTAGAGTTAGTCATAGTCCCCCTAATCCCAAGTTTTAAACAGATAAGCGTTAAAGAGGGAGGGGAATAATCAGTGAAACATTATGTTACACTCTTTGAAGAGCTTCAAAACACTGAATAGAAAAAAAAACTTTCCTGGAAGCCTCTAAAGGTTGTTGTGTCACTGAGAATCAGACTTCAGCTTTTGTCTAGAGAGAATTCTCGTTTGAATATAGGCAAGGAAAAAGATATTTTGATGCCTAAGTATGTTTAAAAAGTTTTCTTGAGTATTTTCAGCTCCTGCTCTCATTTCACTCAGTGAGAACTTTACTGTTTACTTTGCAGGAAGGAGGGTAAAGCATTAAATATTTAGGATGATTCTGAAATACTTTGTTGAAAAAATACAGCAAGGGTGGCAATTTCAGGAGGTGGCTACAGGGGAATTATCAATATTCTGCTTCCACTGCAAAGTTCTTTTTTCCCCTTTGCTCTACAGCTGACATTGGTTCTGAAGTTTGCTGCTTGTGCAGTAAGTCTAACCAATGAGTCTCGTCCAAAGCTAAGGCAGCAGAAAATGAACTTAGGTTTTTTTGAGGGGGAAGTTTTTTGGGTTGGGTTTTTTTTTGCCGGGCAAGTCATTTTGGCCTGCTAACCTTGAAATCTGATGAGCTCCGGAGCTGGAAGGAGGTGGGAAGGCAGAAGACCTTGATGCTTCAGTGGTGGGGCGCAATGGGGTGCAGTTGCGCAGGATTTTTTCTCCTCCTTCTTAAATATGTTATTCCAGTTATTCCACCACTACTTGGCCAGTGCTGTAGCCCCCTTCCCTCCCCTCCAACAAAACCTTGCCATGCCAGCACAATACAATAATATTCTGTGTAGTGTTTGTTTCTACAAACTTGGTAACAAGTAGATAATTATTCAGAAAAGACGATAGAAATGTTCTTGCTCAAAAAATAGGTAAATGGAAATGGCTTCTTTTTTTCAGGCAGCTATGCAACAACTGACCCAGCTTCTATCAGAGGACCTCAGAAAAGAAATCTATGAACTCTGGGAAGTAAGCTTGCATTCTCTTAATCTTGTGATAAAATTCAGGGTGACCCAGTCTCTTCTTCCTGTGTACCTGTGAAACTGTGCCATCTCTTATTTTGACCTGAGAAAGCTGTATTCATTTGCTTAGGAGATAAAGCTTAGTGGTATGAGTCAGGGTCATTTTGCAATCCTTGTCTAACAGAAACCCTGGACTTTGCCAAAATAACGAGTTTCAGCCTCTGGCCTCTCAAAGTTCCACATGAAGCTGTCCGGGGCTTTGTTTGTACAACTGAAGGAAGGGGTTTTTACTCTACATCCAGCTCACTTGGATATAATTCTGTTTTTTTAAATTACATTATCACTTTTGATCATATCTGGCCCTTTGAAGCTTTTAATATAGGAAGAAAATAACAGGAGCTGATGATGCCACAGACTATTTTCTGCTTTTTATACAAGTAATTTCTGTGGTTTCTGTTTCTTTATTATAAAGCTCATTAGGCTAAAATATTCAGTAGTAACTTAAAATGTTAAAGTAAATTAAAACTTAAGTTTGAACTTAAATATGACACAAAACAGTGCTTTTCTACAAACATTACGGATTTCTTACCTTGTGTACCTTAAAAGTTTGGACTGGAAAGTATCTTCTCTATTTGAAAGTGATTTAACTTTTTTATGTGAACTCATGCAGTTAACTGATAAGATCCTTTATACTTGTAAATGAGGGATGATTAGATAATTTCCAAAACATTCAAGTTTATAATTACTGTGCTTCATCTTCTCCTAACGTACAGTTGCATGAGGACAAGTGTTTCCACAACCTCTTGTTCACGTGTTCCTGCAAACAAAGCATTCTGTTTCTCGGACTCTATGACCTGATTCTCTATCTTATATTGATATTCTTGCTTTTCTGCTTGGAATATATTTAAATTCCAGATATTTGCATCCAATTTCTGCCTTTTGCTACAACACCCTGTTTTGTTTTGGTTTGTTTTTTTTTCCCCCGTTGCAGCTGTGTGGTGAACAAGTAGTGAGATTGGGTTCTCAGCTATATTTTAAGGTAAAGGGGGTAAATCACCATCATCAGATCTGGGAAATAATGTGTATACATTTTTTTACTGAGCACTAGTTCCTTCTCCCCTTGGAAGCTGTTATAATTGAGTAAAATGAGATTTTGATAGATAAGGTTAGTCCTGTGGAACTGATATTTTTCTTTGCTGGTCTCAGTCTTCTTTTATGATTGTATAAGAGCTGGTTAACCATGGAGTCAGTTCTTCAGCATGTTAGCTTTTCATCATTCTCATTAACCATAATTTAATATATGCACACTTTTGATCATTTGGTCTTTGTTTCTACCTTCAGGATAGTTTATTGGCATTGAGTCTGCAATGCATTAGCATGAGTGCAACCCACATAACAACAAGGATAACCTAAAAATCTAATATTCACATGTAGTCCCTCTAGTCTTAAGTGAAAAGAAAGTGGCAGAAAATAAAAAGCCTCCAATCATTTGGTACGTTACTCTTCTCAAACATAGCCAGAGGCATTTCCCTATGATTTCTTTTGTGAGTGAAGAAAGTTATGGACCAGAACTGAACAGTGGTGGGGCAAGATCTGTTGATACTCTTGGCAAGTCCTTCCTGCACTGCTCTGCCCTTGTCTCTGTCTCTCTTTGTCTTTCAGCTTTACAAGGACTGTTGCTTTGGACTGTGTTGTTGGGCACTCTGCAAGTGTAGTGTAGGGGAGAGAGGCAGCAGAAGGATGCCTCAGATATATTTTCACTTTATAACAATCCACAATATGTTTGAAAAAAATAATAAAGTAAATTAGCCAGCACATTTTGGCTCTGTCAAGCTTTTTTATTCTCAAGTGCAAAAGCATGGGAGTAATTTTTAAAGGATGGCCTGTGGCGTTGGAAAGACTAGTTACTGTTTTTCCGAAGTGTGCTGTTGTTTCACAGTCTTAAACACCTTTGGGGAAGAAACAGTGTTTACTTAAGCACCGTGCACAGCTGCACATATTATAGCTGATGTTTCTTGAGGGTAATGTGAGCTGAGGTGTGAATAAGATCCGGTAGGTTGTATGGCACAAAGAGGTTGGTAACAGATTGATACTCCCATTTAATTGCTGGTGGTGGGACTGGCCTTTAGAGGAAAACAGCCCTAGATGTCCTTCTCCTGAAGTTCTGCTTTGTAATGCTGCCAAGAGTCTTTCGTGGAACGCCCCCCAAAAAAAGAAAAAAAGAAAAATAGTAGAAATAGATTTAAGAAAATAAGAAGTAGTATTTAAGGCAAAGCTAGGTTGAAAGGAAAAAAAGATAAAAGCATTGAAGTGAAATTGATTACTAAACTAACAATCAAAATGTAACTGAAAATTCAAAGTATCATCGAAATCCAAGTAGAATAGTAAATGAGTCAGTCATGGCTATTAAATTCTGGATTTCTGACTTCAAAGGTAAAGTAATAAGCCTAAAGACAGGCTCCTAATAGTATGTCAGGCAAGGAAATGACTGTCACGCTTACCTGTGCTGGAATTACAAAGCCAGCATCTTGCCACTGTGATGACACTCATACCAAGCTGTTGTCTTAAGATGCAGAAAGGGATGCCATGTTCTTTGGTCAGTAGGAAAACATCTTCCTGTAGTTGTGCTGCTCTTATCTGCAGAACTGCTGTGAGTGCAGGTTCTGTGGATCTGGGAGCACAGATGGGCCCAGTGTGTACTTAAGACTGTGTCTGATTATTGGTGATGATGAATGGAGTCAGGCTTGCCAAGGGTATCAAGGTGATTGGTAACCTGTGCAGACAAACTCCTTTTTCCTAGGGTTGATTTGTTGACTTTGGAAGTCAGGAGAAGACCAGCTAATGAGACTTTACATGCAGTGTGAAAGAGAATGAAATGGCAAACCTGTCTGCAGCCATCACTGAAAGCAAATGACAGCAGCATTGTTCGAGTTGACCAGAAATGTGAATGACTCACAAATACATACTGATGATGGCTGTAAAGAGGGAAAAGATAGCATAGAGATTAAAGGACCTAAAGTCTGAAGGGGGGAAACCCCTTAACCACTCCCCTTCCCATCTCCTAGCAGAGACATAAGGACATAAGCAGCTCAGACAGATTAGACCAAAAAGATTAGGAAGGAATGACAGGAGAAATGTAAAGAACGGCTCCATATGGAAACAGCAAGTGGGAGAGAAAAGTGCAAAAGAGACCTTAAAAATAAGTGATGACAATGCATAGGCACACACTGTGGTAATTCATATTAGGCCAGGCCTCAAATGATCTTTATATGTAAAATCTTATTAAATGGAACCTATTGTTTAACTTGTATATGGTGCAGGGTTGCCTCCCTATCATCCCTGATTCAGCCAAAACAATTGGTATGTTTAGAGTTAAGATTATGCAAAAGAATTGTGGTCTAAGTCCCATTACATTTAATATAAATTTGGCACATACTTATTTCAAGTGTTTTTCTGAATAGTGTCTTGAAAACAAGTGAAAGATGTAACTGTGGTGAATATTTATGGAGTGGCTTGTACGAATGAAGAAAATTCTTGATACATAAAGAGCTTTTAATACTCTGTTTCAGAGAAACAAAATTATGTTCATATAACTGCAAATCTTTTCAGGAATATGAAAACCAGTGTACTGCAGAAGCCAAGTTTGTAAAACAGTTGGATCAGTGTGAGATGATACTGCAAGCGTTTGAGTACGAAGAGTTGGAAAACACACCTGGCAGATTGCAAGATTTTTATGATTCAACTGCTGGTATGACATTTGGGCTTTTTATTTTTCCTCTTTCATAAATTAAATAGATAAATTACCTTTTTTTCTGACGGATATACAGAGCAAGTGAGAACTAGTTCTTTTACTCATTGCTAAAGTACCCTAAATATTTTGAGGGAACCTTAATGCAGTGTGAAAATACATTGTATTTATCTATAGACAGATACTGAGGCTGAATTTCATTTATGCCAAATTCACTTTTTATTGAGAGAGGCCCAGCTTTCATTACACTTGCATGTGTTTAAGGAACTCCCTGAAACATCAGAGGGGGCACAAAGGAGTATTCAGCCTTCACAGAGCATGAGCTTGTTTCTACTTTGTTAGTGTCTCACGAGCCAGTGAAGTAGAATTTGTTACCTCTACATGAGCTGTGGTTGTGTGTGACCTACCCAAGGTTCTCGTATGTGAGAACCACCTCAGTGAATGGTGCAATTTATTAGGTGATTTTATTCTATCATTTGTTTTTTGTCCTTTGCAAAATGAACTGATAGTTTATAGAAAGGAGAAATAGGTAAAAATAATAATATTTATAATTTTAGCAAGGGAGTTGAACACCAGAAGAGGACTTGTGACTAAGTCAGCCAGTCCTGGAAAAAACCTAGGGATAGACAAACTTGGGAAGAGGACTAGCAGTCACCAGACACTTCCTGGCAAGTCCCATTTATACTTTAGTGACTCCTCAGGGAAATAATAAGCTCTGTGAAAAATGTAATAATTTGATTAGGGAAGAAGGAAAAAAAGGACAACATGAACAAAGCTGGAAGACCTAATTTTCTAATTGACATCTTTGCCCTCCTGCCAGGATTCAGTAAATTAAACTGAGGTGGTGACTGACTAGACCCTACAGTATACACCCTGTATTATGCACCTGTAATTGGAGTGGTTTCCAGTAGCAGGATACATAGTATCAGATCATCTTGGTCAGGATGCATCCCTTTTTCAGCTCTTAAGATCTTAATAGGGCACAAAATAAAAGCTTCTAGGTAAGAAGTTGGATCAAACTAGGAGTATTTGCTTTCTTAAATAATTTGACATTTATTCTGAGCCTAAAGTGACATCATTGCTATTGTTCCAGTGTCAGCCTTTTACATGTGGGAAAATGAGAGCCTTATGATTAAATTTCCCTTTCTTTTGTTTTGCAGGGAAGTTTTCTCACCCAGAAATACTTCAGCTTGTATCTCTGATTAACACAGAGAGGAATAAAAAAATAGCTGCTACATCTCATCCACATTCCTGAGGTGTTCCTAAATGCTGTAGCTATAATAAATGCTTTGTTTTATATTCTGTGCATTATGTTTCCTTCTGTAAGGTCACTGATTCTGCCAGCAGATTTTTTCCTGTGCATTCATTGCTGAGAATCCCAGGATCACCCAGGTACGAGCAGGAAGCATAGTTACCACCAAATCAGAGTTTGTGTCAAGGACCAAATATTTGTTTGGGTTTTTCCTTTTCATTTTTTTAATCAGCCTCTGATTAATGCAGTCTCAGTTACAAATAGATTCTCCACTAGGGAAATTCAGGTATGTTTAAAAATTAGCTGATTGCAATCTAATCTGTTCATGTAATGCATTGTGTGTGTCTTGTTCTGTGACTTCCAAGTGTGTATGGATTTAATTACCCTTCAGTGGGTCAATATCCACTCACTGCTACACCGAAATGAGACCAATAAGCATGTTCTTCTACAAGCTCTTGATTGAGCTTAGAGATGAGATTTGAGTACATAAGCCTTAAGAAGTGATGGTGGATAAAATTGGTAATCTCATTAATTATATTTTCTCCATATCTTCATTGTTTCATAGAACTTTCCCACAGTTCATGTGCTGTGTCAAGGACTGTGCCGACATTTCCATAAGGCTTGTATTCCTTACTCCCCCTCACCCCTCTTGTAAAAAAAGAGTTTTACAGACTCTTTGACAGGTAATGGATAATCACAGAATAGCTGAGGTTGGGAGGGACCTTTGGTGTTTGTGCAGTCTAACGCAGAAGCCTCTACACCTGTGTAAAGCTGGTTCCCTTCTTCTCTAGAAGTCCAGAATGATTGGGAAGTAAAGCTGTAGCGATGGTAAATACCATTATGAGGCCAGTGTCTGCACAGCCAACTGCTGAGTTGTGTGCAGCTGGAGATTAGGGCAATGTCATGATTACCAACTAAGCAAAGTTGGCACCTGGAAAATTTACATGGTCAAGACCTGGAGCTCGCTTCTCCATCTTCCTTCTGCCTCGTGTCAAATAAAGCAGCATAAAACTAAATTCAGTTGTCATCCAGTTCAAAAATAGGTAATGTAGCTGAGCACACATTTTCAGGCACCATGACTCAGGAAATGTTTCCTTTATGCAATCCTCAGGGGCCTGACCAAAGCTTGTGCAGTGTTCTGCAGCTGGTGCCTTTGGCAGAGGCACAGAGTGCTGGGCACAGCTGCTGGGAGCTCTTGCTTTAGGGGTTGGCACAGTGCACAAAATCTGCAGAGCATATTGGTCTGGTCCAGAGGAGATGTGAGATGCCTGCTCTGCTGGGAACCCCACAAGGGAGCAGTTGTGCCCTGTGGAAACCCTGGAAGAACAGGTTGTGCTTTGCTGAACAATAGGAAAGTGGTTATTGGCAACAGTCATACTGCAAGTGGGATGGAGTGAGGCCCACTGAGCTCTCTTCAGCATATTTTTTCCACCAAGATGCACACAAATTTTAGTCTCTTGTTAGTTTGCACTGAATGCTGAGTGTGAAAGAGCTACAGATGCATCAAAATACAGAATGGAGAATGTTCATGACGAACCAGAAAAGTGGCCTTGGGGAGATGTTTGGTAGAAACACACACAGCACAAGCGCTACCCTAAACAGGACCATTCCTTTCCTGCAGTGGAGTAAGGAAGCTTCCCCATTCTGCAGGGGATCCAGGCGACAGTGTGAAACCCCAGTGCAGTGGTGCTAGCCTGAGAAATGGCAACATGGTTTGGGTGTGCATTGGGTGGGGTTTGGTTCTAAACAAAGGCAAGAGGTACTTTGTGTAAAATGATATTCTCTTCTCCTTGCTGCTGCTGCTGCTGCAATCCTGTATCAGTTTTGGACACAGTATTGTAACAGAAACAGGAGTTAGTTGGAGGGAAATGGGAGAAGGTGTGATCAGAAAGCATGAGCTGTGATGAGAGATTAATAGAAAAGATAGCAAACAGTGGGGTTTCAGGCTTCCTAATGTTGTTTTAAAGTGCACTGCTCACATGTAGGAAAAGGCCCTGGACTTATGACCTGCAAGAGGAACTTGCCTTCTCTTAGGTCTTTCCCATATCCCTGTTGACCCTACACCAAGTGGCAGCTGCTGTCATGACAGTAACATTTAAGAATTTGTATGGAAGTGAAGTTTGCCTGGCCAGCCCACCTCCACTAGCGCTCTTGAAATTATGCTCTTAATGAATGCAATTAAATGCAATTTACTGCTTCCCAGAAGTATTTTCAGTGTGTGTATATACATACATAAATAAATAAAATGAGGTCTAAATTAGTGCTTGGAGTCCATGTTTTGACCTTGGTTTGGCTGATGGTCCTGCTCAAAAGGTCAGTGGTTTTGGACCTAGATGCTTTATGCCATGCATTTCACTTTTATTGAACTTAGTTCAAGCGTGTTTCTCCACTGAACCTCAGAATTTTCAAAACTTGGGCTACAGATTTTTCATGGGGAATTTCAGGCCCAGAAGAAACTGAGCAGATTTTTAAAAAGGTAAAAATAGCAGATTATGTTCAGGCAATTTACCTTGATATTCTTCCATGAAATAGCAAGGCTTATAGATGCACAGTAACCATAGAATGATAGGATGGTTTGGGTTGGAAGGGACCTTAAAGACAATCTAGTTCCAACTCCCCCGCCACGGGCAGGGACACCTCCCACTAGACCAGGTTGCTCAGTACTACTAGTAAACACAAAAATTAAAACATCACAAAGTGTAAAAGAGAAAGAGAGAAATTTATTTTTAATAAGAATATCAAGAACTTCATTTACACAAACTAAGTTGACCATTAATAGCTTACATTTTAGATAAATTCACATTTATGCACAAAACCACACAAAATAAGCTAGGAAATTGTCACAAGAATACTAGAAAAGCATAGTTAGATTTGCTTCCATGCTAAAAATCACACTAAAGAGGCATGTGATAAAAATGTCCAAAGGTAACTTATGTCCAGTAGAACATTACAAAAGAACTTTCAATGTTTTGAAAACTACCAAAAGCCACAGGGGAAAAAAAAAAATCACTTAAAGCCAAGTTTTCTCACAAAATTTTAAGCGGTATGTAATGTCAAAGTCACTAACACTGATTTGAAGCTTTGGCATATGCTCAAAAAATGCATCCATTTTCAAAGTAGTCAGGCTCTTTTCCATCTTTTTTATTGATAACATTGGGCTCACCTCAGTCTGGTGAACTGAGTAATGCAACATGCATACTGACACGTGCTCACTAGACAGCCAGATAGTGTCACAAACATGCTGCTCTTTCCTTAGAAAAAATGTTAGAAGAATGCAAGCAAGCATGCTGAATCAAAGCTGAGAGATGCCTGGCTCTTGGTGATTGAGCAGAAATAACACAGTTGGTGGAACTACATCCCGGAGCAAAGCATGACAAAATTTGACACCAAGAGTGAAGTAAAGTTTTTATTCATCCTGTGTATTGTGAGATGACGGGGTCTGTGCTAGCAGCTCTGAAGTGTGGGCTGAAGGCAAGGGCTCTCTAAGCTATGGCACATCTGGAGCCAGTTGTTGGGTTTGTGTTCTTTCACTTAAGGCTGTAGCTTGACTGAAGCTTATAAATACCTTCCCTTATTTTTGAGGGTAAGTTACGGAGGCAAAAATATTAGAGGTTTCCTCCGCTCCACTTGATTTTGCAATTAACTTATAATGTCAAGCCTTACCAAACCACAGAGAGTGAGCAATGGTACGTATTTCTAAACTGAAACTTTTCTAGCCACCATGACCATCTCGATTCCAGAGCTGTGATCAGTTCAGTTTCTGCATGAATAACTGGGTGTCTCTTCCTGTCCTCCTTAACTCTGCCAAGTAACAGGTGGAAGGCGATGCCAGACTGCACCAGTGAAGGAGCAAAAATTTTTTGTGACAATAAGTGATTTTAATTCTATTAGGAAATAGATCATCTACTGAAACTCCTGAACAAAGGGCACCTGGTATGGCTGGTAGACAGCTGGTGTATGGGCTACTGCTGGCAGCTGAAGGCTTAGCACAGCTCTAGGTCCATCTGTCTGATGTGGCACTGAGAGGGGATCTGGAAACCAACACATACAAAAGAGCAAACTAAAAGAGATTAGAAACAGGGACTGTTGGGAGACTGTTGGAGGGAAGTCACCTGAAAATGAAAACTATGTTAGCCACTTAACACAGAATTTAGTGCATTATAGCCAGTGACTGGTCTATGGTTTCGATGATGTACAAAGTAGCTGGCACTAAAATGGCCCATCTAAAATAGAAATAGGGAGAGGAAACATTTCTCCAACACAAGGCCAGGGAGGCAGTTTTCCAAAGCCAACAAAACCTTGTTACACAATTTGTGTGGTGAGAGAAGGTTACAAATCACTGTCTGGGCAAGTCTCTGAAGAGAACTATGCGGGGCTCAGGAGGGCCTGAAGTTTAACACTGAAGCTCTTCTTCACTCTCAGGAACTCGGGTACCAGCAAGACTGCTCTGAGCGCTGGCATGGGCTGTAGAGCTGAGAACTTCTTCAAAACTGCCTCCTGTGTGGCTCGTCCCACCAACCTTGGTCTGAAACAAGGCAAACAGAGAACAGAAAGTTCTTCTGTTCACACTGAAGCAAGTCCCATTTACGTTCCACCCCATGGTCATTGGAGGGCTGGGAACTGTTCAGGCAGAGAACACGCGGGATGTTTTTTTCCTTAGAACAACAGCTACAAAAACAGTCAAATAAAGCAAATTCTTTCCTCCCCCAATTTCTAAACTAGGCTGCCATTGTAAAATCTGCCAGTGGCATGTCTGATTCACTTAAATGAACCAGTCCCTAAGCAGATCCCAGGCAGAACCCAAGACTCTGCCACTAAACGTAGTGTGGTTATCTATGTGAGTAGATCACACTGGTTTCACTGTTTTTTCCAATTCTATGAAGCCTGGATAAGAGACGAGTATTAAAATGAACTGGCTCATTTGCTGAGTAAAGTGGTCCATCCACCTGCAACAGGAACACAGCTTCTTGCAAAATACATAAACTGTCCTGGGATCTTGGACAGCAGAAGGAATGCAGTAACAGAAGAACAAACCCAGCAGCTTATCTCCTCT